GTGTGTGTGTGTGTGTGTGTGTGTGTGTGTGTGTGTGTGTGTGTGTGTGCGTGTGTGTGCGTGTGTGTGTGTGTGTGTGTGTGTGTGTGTGTGTGTGTGTGTGTGTGTGTGTGTGTGTGTGTGTGTGTGTGTGTGTGTGTGTGTCTGTGTGTCTGCATGTGTGTGTGGTGTTTGCACGCCACCGATTTTTTGGGGTCACGTGCGGATTAAATGTTCGGGAATTTTTAGCCGAAATTTTCACACGACCGATGTGTGCTGCATGGAAACTACAGTGAGAGCTGTGGCAAAATTTATGGCACCGCGTGCACCGATTCATTGCCTGCATTTTCCGCCCATTTATATGCAATTATGTGCACTGTTCTGTCCATACATAAACTTAACTTAAACGGTAGCAGCTCCACATTTTTGCGTCGCCAAAATGCCGCCGGGTGGTCGCCCAATCGCCGGCGGCAAGCATTCCAAGTAAAACGACGAAACGCGCACGCGCCGTCTGCTGCGGGCGTCCGGCAGCCGTCATACATTCAATCATTCTTTGTAGCGAGAAAGGTGAGTCATGGTAACGGTCCATTGCATTTCCCGAACTCCTCGCTTTGAGAAGTGTCAGAGAAACCACACGAATCGAGTGACGAATAATTCGCAATTATTGCAATGAGAGGACCCAAGAAATGCAGTTTTGAGCGACGTTCAGTGCTACGCTAAAATGGCACTCTCATTGGCTTTGCTGGCCTAGTGTGACAACACATAAATATTGCAGTAGCGTTGACAAGTGGCAGAAGTGAAATTAGGGAGATCTTGCAGTGATCGCAAGTGCGGTTTTCAAGTGCGGTTCCCTTGTGCCTCATCACAATCGACGCGTGACTAGGTGGCGCCAAATCGGTGAGCGGTTGGGGAACGTTTATCTCAGGTTCGAATTAATGCACTCCCCCGGGCTTACGATTGATCTTTTAAAAAAAGCGGACCAAGTGGAGCTCTTTATGCACTTGGTTAGGTACATGTATGAAGAAGGCGAGGGAAGACTGGACTGCTACCCACCGACTTCCGTGATGCTTGCAATCGATTTAACCCATGATGCTGCACGAAACACCGGCCTGCCGATGGTCGGTTTGCTAATGGCCCGCCTACGTACCTGATAGTTAGCATATCCCGCCCAGTTCCCGCTAGGCACCCTGGCAGTGAGAGGTCGGGTGGGTCAGGGAATCCCATGAAGGGTATTGAATGCATCCCGAAATAATGCAAACACAAACTGTTCGTGGAACCTGCGTTGCACAGCGAGGCAAGCCTGCAAGCACTTGCTTACACCAATTTCGTAACGACAAACGGCGTGTTTCTGAACACGTTTTGCCCCAGTGACGGCTTACATCCATCTGAGCTTTGCGCTGGACGTTATGGAGTTCATGGATGCGTTTCCACCACCACCACCAGTCACAATCAGCACGGATGTGACCTCCGACCGGCAGGTCGAGCTACACCTCTTCGGGCAGCACCTACCCGCTGTCAGTGGCCGTGACCTACGGTGGAAACCTCTTCGGCTGGGCTGGCCAAGGGAACTACGTCTGCATGCAAGACGACGTAAGTACACAATTCTGGCGGTCTGCGTCAATCGTTTGCAGCCCTCATACCGTGTATGCGTATGCAGCAGATGTACATGCACATGTGCAGCGTATGTTGCATTGTACTGCACGGGGTACGGTGTGCGTTACATAGCGCAGTTCACTTTACGCGGACGGCAGTTCCACGTCCGCTTCATTGCCGTGAAGGCGCAGGTCATGCAAAGTATCGATTGGCGTCGATTGATGACACCGGGCAGTTCTGAGCTATCACATCTGGTTCGGGATGCGCCAGCCGATCCTTCACATGCAGTAAGCAGGTATTCGCATTACTGTTCCGAACGTGTATCTTTGTGTCGCGCTGATGCCGACGCTCCCCGGCGTGCCCCTGACCAGACGCCAAGCGCGTGACTGGTGCTGCACCACTGCTCGTCGGCAGGGGTGCCCCCGGCGTGCCCCTGACCAGACGCCAAACACGTGACTGATGCTGCACCACCGCTCGTTCATCGACAGGTGGCATTTGACTTCCTGTCCAGTGTGGAGACGACGGCCACCTCAGCTGGTGCCATCCCCATGAGGGGAGCCGACAGGGTGGACGTGGTACTCGCCTACACCAACCCGTTCGACGCCCTGCGCCTCGAGGTAGGGCACCGCCGTGGTGCGCAAATGGTCCCTTATTTCACTTCCGGGCCTTAAAATGAAGTTTAACGTCTTGCCAGTGTCCATGTACAAAAAAATGACGGATGCGTTCTGATTTTCCTGCCGTGTGAGGCTATTTTGAACATTGTGTTTCAATGCTTACATTCTGGGTAGCTTTCATCAATGTTTCATGCCGCAGTTCGCACATGTGGGGGCTTAAAGAGAGTGTTTCACATTTGTTTGGGGTTTTGAATGGAAAGAGTCATCTTGAAGATCGTTCGGTGCAGTTCATAGCCGTGCCCTTCTCAAGGCCGAACCCCTCTAGTGTCTGAGCTATACGTCCGTGAAGATAAGGCGGACTATTTCGGCGAAACCATTTCAAGGTCACCCAGACGACATAATAGCGTCATTCAAATCGTGCTACTCCATTGGTCATGCGGTGATCGAGGCTAAAATATTTTATTGTCGAGTCCTTCATATCTGGCGTTCGTGAGCACGTTTTTCCGACATAACGGCCGTTAATTGGCTTGTAATCAATGTTGTGTAATACGATATATATATATATATATATATATATATATATATATATATATATATATATATACGAATACGATAGAGAAACCAAACAATGGCGCATTGAGGAGCATTTACTAAACAGAGAAATTGTGTTGCTCAGAGCAGTGCCTTCTGCTTAGAATTATACCAGTTGTGATAAGTAAACATATTTCCTCATATCTGATGCTTGCTTCAATTTTTTCAAATGTGGAACACTCCCTTTAACAACCTTTATTTTGCGGAACTGATCTCGCTTCACAACGACCTTAAGATACCTAAGAATATCAAAATGACAACATGTTAAAAAGAGTGGATGGTATTCAATTATTGCATACTGAGATTATATGGAGCAGTCAATACGATAGTTTTGCATCCATATTACTTAACATTCATTATTTTTTAACGGCTCGAGTTGCAAGGCTTTTATCAGGGTACTTGCATGACGCAATATGCTTCACGAAACGTGTTCATTCTAGAGGGAAGCACCATAACGCTTGAAAAAAGGTGTTAGTTTCATGACATATATTCTTACTGGCCTAAACACGTCTACACAACACTGTTAAAACATACTCAGACATGTTTAAAACATACATACACCAATGCCGATGCTTTAACCTCCATCGACATCAGTCATGTCCATCACCGAGGAATAAGACAAAGCAAGCTGGTCTTCATGCGACTGGCAAACAATCAGCACTTTGGACTAAGTTTTTTTCTAAAACGTCGTACTTAAATAGCTGAGAGCACACTATCAATACCTCGACGCATTTTCTCTGAGCGCACGCCATGACAGCAGTTCCACAAGCTGACCTTTATTGTTCGCCTGCCTCGCGCGCCAGGTCACGGGCACCTCGGAGCGGGAAGATATCTTCACACTGTCGAGCATCGAGGCGCAGCAGATCGGCTACAACTTCTGGGAATGCGGCGCCTTCGTGTATGACGTCAATGACACGACGGTGTTCACCACTTCGGGGAGTGGCAAGTCCCGGCTCTCTGCCCAGAGAAGCTTTGGCGAACTGCTGAACTGTGGCGGTACGTGGACTAAATTGTGTTCAGATCAATTCAGGTCACAATGCACGGTATATCCAAATGCATCATATACTTTTCGTTGATTACTGTTCCGTTATTCAAGATCAGTGGCAGTTGGTAGGTTTAGGTTTAAAACTTTGTTTCCCGACCACTCTGGACGTGAAGTCGAGAGCACAGACTTATTCCGCAAACGAGCTGACAAAAACGCGTCAATTTCCGGAACGTTGGCAACGTTTTCTCCAGAACATCAGTCGACACGGGCTCCTATCCATATGCAGCCCCAAATGAAGATCGTGAATCAGTCGCAGACTAAGGTATCCTAAAACTGGTAATGAACTGAGACGCAGACTAAAAACTGAATAGCGACTCAATTGCGTTTGATACCAAATGTAGTGGAACTCACCGCGTGAACTAATACTATATTTCTTGGGTTAGCTTCATGCTAGTTTTAGTCGTTTGTCATTTATTGACAGTCACAGCCAACACATGAGTGGAAAACGTTGACCGTGACTAAAACATTGCATTTTGATAGCGAATGCCCACGCGGAAAAGGGTTTGGAACAGAGAGTCTCGAACTCCGACCCCAGGTCCTAGAAACCAGGTTTTGAGTTAGATGCATTTCTGTGGTGAAGCTTGACAGTCCCACCCCCAGTCCTCGTATTGAATAGCCCTGGCTTGGCTTCGAAATGCAGTTGCTTGGAGTCAGGACTTGGACTCGGGCTTAAGAGAGCAAGGCATGCATTCTCGATCGGATTCAGACCCATGCTGGTCCGCTGAGCTCTTCCCCACCAGTCGAAGGAGTTTAAGCCTTACGCCTTGGATTTGCAGCAGACGAATGGCAGCCGATGTAAGCTTTAATCCCAGTGGAAGCCTGCCGTATCATACTTAGAAATGGAGGCCGCATCATATGTTGCATGACATGATAACGCCTTTCAGCAGCGCCTTGTTTATACAACGTCCTGGTTATATGTACAGCATTTATGAGAGTGTCCCACATTTGTATGGAGTTTTGAACTGAAATAGTCATCTTGAAGATCATTCGGTACAATCCACAGCCCGGCCGTTCTTAAGAACCAAACCGATGTAGTTTCTGAGCTAAATGCTCGCGAATATGTGCGGACTATTTCGGGGAGACTTTTGTAGGGTCGCCCGGCATTCTGGCGCCATAACGTCATTTACATTTTGCAGTTGTATTGGCGATGCAACGATCAAGGCTAAGAAACATGTAATTGCCGAGTGGTTTATATCTGGAGTTTGTGAGCACGATTTCCACATATTAGGCTGTCACTCGGTTCTCAGTCAGTTTTGTTTTGTTTGTTTTGTTCAGTTTTGTCATAGTACGATGACGTTATCAGACAATACCGTATTGAGGAACATATTCACTAAACATAGGCAGTGTTGTCTAGAGCAGCCTTTTCCACTTAAGAGAAAACCAATAATTTGAAGTGAGCTTATTCCATCATATTTGATGGGTGCTTCGATATCTATAAATGTGGAGTATTTCCATTAAGTGCGAGCGATTGGAGAGGCGGGATCGGTCACTATTGACAATTAATATATTGCCTAGCGATGACTCAGACCCAAGATATTACCCAAGTTAACGCACCTTATAGTAAATGACAACTGTAAGGTCAAGTTCTGCAAATGACCCGAACCCATCCGACTAGACTGTTTTGTGGTATTCATGTGATTGTGCTTGCATAACAAGGGTATAATGCCGTCTCATATTCATTTCACTGGAATCCTTAACTGAAGAACAGCAGCGCTTTTTTATCAGCTGGTACGTTCACATCCATCTGGGGCAGGTGACATCGAACCATGCCTCATGAAGACAGCATATCTGTCTTTTTGTCCACAGGCGAGCAGCCGCGTACGGCAGAAGTCAATGACCAGATCACATTAGGCTTTGGCGTATTCACCAATGGGTTTCCGGGTGACACTTTCACGCTCAACGTGAAGGTGCTGCTGAGAGATCAAGAGAAGCTCAGCCAGGACCTGGTCTTCACGCTCACCGACGGCGATCTGAGCGCCATCTACCCGGCGGTGGGCGCAGCGCAAACGTAGCGCACCTTCATGCGCAGAAGTCAACGTGCCCACCAAGGACTGCACGGCTCGTGTTTGTTTTTGGCGTGCATTAATGCGTGGTCTCTTGGATTACTAGACTCTAAATATCAGTAAAGATTTGGTTTGCTGTTTATCATAATTAACTTTGAGAAATTTTCCCCTTGTTCTGTGAGTTTAAGTCACATGCATACGATGAAATTATGCCTTCGAACCCTGCATTCCTTCTTGCGTCCCTTTTGTCACAAGTAGCGAAAAGCGTTGAGCTCGCTCGGTAGTTATGGTGCATGCTGTTCTCAGCCCGGCTCCTCAGAACTGCTCGGCGTTTCAACTGGTCGATAAGCCGAGAATGCACACCTAACGGCGCTAGTGCGCCCAGACTTGCAGTTGTGCGGCAAACCGCCGCATCAGCGCCTGTCACCCATAACAATCTGTGGCGTTCTACCCATGAGAGCACAGAGAGCACAAATGGTCCAACCACTAACAAGGAGGCAGGTGACCTTTGTAGCTGTTCAGGGCTGCACACAAGCGCAGCCGGTGCATGTGCTGGAAGTTGAGCCTGCCTCAGAGATGGCGGGTCGGGGCTGAGGTTAGCCTGTTGCCCACCATGAGCCCTGTCCTGCTGCTGTATGACGTTTAGCTGTAGTGAATGCTTTCTTCGCCAGCTGGGCACAACGTCGCATTTCTTCCACTAAGGAGACCCATAAGATACCATGTAGGATCTTTTCAAAAGAAGCTAACTTTCGGTAAAGTTATGGTCTGTTTGTCGATTGCTGCCATGTTAAAATTGCTACCTATTTCTCGCTTGGCGGACGTTTCTTCGTATTTGCCAAATGAAGAAAGCAGCGAGGTCCGCTATCTCGAAAATCAAACAACCTAAAGAACATGAAAAACACACATGATCCGTTTATCGTCATTATACATCAGTGCAACTGACCTTTGATGTGGCAGACGTGGTGCAACAGGTGTTGACACATCGCATCTAAGTCTTACACATCAGCGCTCTTGTGGATGGGACCCGTGCAATGGCAAATCGGGTGGCGCTAGTCAAACCCCATTTTATTATATCAAACCCCATAGTTTATTTGAAATCACGTTACATCATTTTAAAAGTAAGCACGGTACCACGGAATAAAGAACAACACTTGATGACAGTTATCATACTGCCTCAATATTGCCATACTACATACTATAATACATACTACATACTGTCATACTACATACTATGATACATACTACCATACTTCATCTGGACACTTAAAAAACAGGTTCCATTTCATATAGCTTAAGTACCTAATGATATCGACTGAACTGGCCTTATTATATTCCGTAAACTTGTGCCATCATGTGTTATGCTGTCAAATGAATATTGAAGAAGCCTTTATAGCAAGTCGGTCATGACGAGCCCATTTTATCCGGCCACTTATCACAGCATACGGCCGGCCTGACCTCGACAAAGCATGATCTACAACTACGACAGGCAAGATGATGGGATCTGCATCGAAAGCGTCAAAATGTTAATAATGGATAAATGGATGTGAGGGGGTCGGCGCTGACCTGACCTAACCTGACCCCCCCCCCCTGAACTGGCCTGCGCTGCCTCGGCAGCGGCGCGACGACACTGCAGGCGACATCGCCGGCCCTGACCTGGCCTGACTTGCCACAGGCCCCCAACAGTAGCGAGCCGAAGCTGGAGATCACGCCGCCGGCACCGGGCGTGCCGCAAGACATCGCGCCTGGCACGCACGTGACCTTTGACCTCACCTACCGGTTCCCGATCTTCCAGCCCGTCGTGGGCCAGAGGAGGTGAGCCGCCGGGCGTGCCGCAAGACGTCGCGCCTGGCACGCACGTGACCTTTGACCTCACCTACCGGTTCCCGATCTTCCAGCCCGTCGTGGGCCAGAGGAGGTGAGCCGCCGCGCATTAGATGGGGCCTCAACCGGGTCAGTTGAGGGAACAGTCAGCTGGCCATTGAACTGCAGGAGAGGCTGGGTTGAGAGCTCGGTACGGGCTTTTTTACGTGAAGCTGACGTGCTTCGCCAGCTCTAGGCGTGGCCAGTGAGTGCAGTGAGTGCAGTGGTTATATGAGCTCTCAGGGGTCATGGTGCAACCGGTATTCGAACCCAGACCCTCACGTTCGGGCCACAGGCACTACCACTTGGCCATCACGCCTCTTGGGTAGCTCACAGTGAGGTGAAAGGCTGCAACATCAGCAGCTTGGCACGTGGCATGATGACTGCTCTTCGGAAGATCTGCGGAGAAAATATGGTCATTTGATGGCCAGTAATATAGCGTGTGCCTGTGCGTGTGCGTGTGTGTGTGCGTGTGTGTGTGTGTGTGTGTGTGTGTGTGTGTGTGTGTGTGTGTGTGTGTGTGTGTGTGTGTGTGTGTGTGTGTGTGTGTGTGTGTGTGTGTGTGTGTGTGTGTGTCTGTATGTGTGTGACTGTGTATTCTGTGGTTCATAAATCATGCGATTTGATATCATACACTGTAATGCAGGTTTTTTGTCATCCGTGAGATTGGCGTGTCATCGATTACAGCAGTCATTTTCACGTAGGACTGCGGTGCAAGACTTTCGTTTAAACTTTCCAAGCTTATTTTCTGACCACACATCTTAAATTAGTGACCTTCGGTTAGAAATCGTTCGCAGAGATTTCAAAGCATGGTTGTAAAGACGCATAATCTGATGAAAGTGCGATTAGCCGGCTGAACACAATATGATGTCTGTCTTTTAACACGCATAATGCCAGATCTCTTCCCCCCGACACTTTTCGTAACTTAGTTAAAACATTGGGTGGCGCCTCTGACGCAGACAAGATAGAGCAAATTCGTATACCCTTGTAGGGCCCCTGTTCATACGTATGTGGTAATTACAGATCTTACTCACAGTTTTTGCAGAGCTTGTTTAAGTACTTACAGAGCTTGCGGAACCCAGATACCGTAATAAAATCCAAGTGAATGTCCGAGTGAAAATATCCTCAAAACTTACCTTGCTCCACACAAAACCGATGTAAGCAATGATTGGGCAGGCAGCATCTAAAGCTCTCGACCAAGGCATATCGCCGATTGCCGGGCCTAGTATTTTCCTAGGATTTGGGTGAACCCAGGGCTGAATAAGTTCTATGAAGACTCTTCGTTAATATTTGGAAGTTATTCTTAGTCGGGTAAATGTGACTTACCTGGTCCATTACATTGGAATTGCGTAAGAATAATATTGCCCTTGTTAGTGTTAGGTGTATTCTTAAATTTGGTGGAGACATTTGAAAAGCTTTTTAGGATTCATTCAATGTCTTAATGCATCGCGAAAACGGCTGTTAATAGGAGTCGTTTGACGATGTTCTGGACTATTTTGGAGTGATCCAGATAATATTTCACTGCACAACAGTTATGACTGCCGTCATAGCTTTTTTCGGAAGCTCCGAGACGAGTTATTAGTATCCCGAATGTAGCAGCCTTTGCTACTGCTGCTATGCTACTGTTATGTTGTGTTGGTACTTACCCAACATTTGGGCCAGTTCACTTTCCGGCCGTTGTCAAGTGTTTCGGACTCCTGAGCCCTGACTAGATGATGATGTCCTTCCCTGTTAGCCTATCGGTGTCCGGACAACCCCCAGATCTCCTAGTGCATTGGTGGGCTGCTAGAATTGCAATCAGAAGGCTATGGCTCGAATCCCAGTAATTCCAGAGAGTCCATTTTGGCTGTGGCACATACTTGGCTGAAAGCCAATCATCATCGAGCCATTTTTGTAGTCCAGTACTCCTGACGACGGCCAGAGTTAATGGCTGAATATTTTAACGTACCAGACGAGTACGATAGCCCTAATTATCATTCCATCCGTGATTGCTGTCCTAATGTTTCAATGTTTCTGTCACGAATGTCGCCATCCTGCGGCGGAGAAGCTGTCTGCCGCTTGTGGCGGCTGTCACGCGCGGTGGGTCCGGGCCTCGGACATAGCCACGTGGCTCAAATTATCATCAAGTGCAGTCAAAATCACGCCATTTCCCCAGTAAGGAGGGGGATATGATTACTTCCGATCAGTCGTATCGTGGCGCTGCGTGTCGTACCAGATACCACCGCTGCTCTTCTCCGATCATGCAGGTGACATTTTCTCACAGTTCATCGACCTGGCCACCTAAGTGACGGTTCAACTACACCAAAGCCCATAGCGATCCAAGTGTCGCATTCGTATCACCAAGCTGTCTGTAACGCTTTGAATGTTTGGGGTTACGTCTGCTCTTCATGAGGGAATTCTGAGATGTCCCTGCTCATAAGCATAGGCGAGGTGGTAGATAATTAAGGGTGCCGCTACTCTTCTACTCTGCAAGAATACGAAACCACCAGCAGCTAGTACGCTACAATTGTTTTCCTTCGCAGGACTACGCCGCCACCAGCAGCAACGGAAGCGACAACCTTTTACGAACAGCAAAGTGGGGACCTTGTGTACCAAAGCGGGGACCTTGTGTACCAAAGCGGGGACCTTGTGTACCAAAGCGGGGACCTTGTGTACCAAAGCGGGGACCTTGTATACCAAAGTGGAAGTGGGAACTATGCCGGAACAAGTGCAATTGATGAAAGTATTGGCGGAGACTATATGTACGGAAGTGGACTTGAAGATGGAAGTGGATCAGGGGCCGGAATTGGAGACTATACAGGGTCAAGTGAATTCACATATTACGGTGGGAGTGATTTTTCCGATGAGGCATCAAGCGGGCAATCGCAACGTAATGGCGGCTCAGGCCGTAATAAAAGACAAGCAAACGGAAACGGAGGAACAGCAGCAACCAGTGCCGAAACAACGGGGGCGTTTGTCAGCACCAGTCCGATTGTGACCTTCATCGACCCAATCATGGTCGTCACTGCTACCCAGGTGAGGTGGGCGTGCCTTCCGTTCTGTTTATTCTGACTTCTGATACTGGCACTGTCGGGTTATCAGTGCCTGCCGTTTGTAGCACCGTAGCGGGAATTCTATCCCTTGCTTTTGAAGGCTGCCTTTGATTGAAGCTCTTTAAAACTCAGGATCGATTCCAGGCGCAGGATTACCTGGGAAAAGGACTGGTTTAAGCCGATCACATGTGCCTTCGACTGTCTTAAACCGTGACCGGGTGTCCGGCTAAATGTGACGCGCCGGACTGTGGGAAGAATCAATCAGACCCTTCCCCCCACACCAAGGTCTGAAAGGCTAAGTGAGCGAGATACACCAATTTCACAGGGTAGGTAGGCCTCTATGTGAAATCGCTTATGTTGAAATCCATACGTCGTGGCATTTGTGTCAAATAAGGTCAAACAAGGTCACACTGCAGGTCGGTGTCCGAACAACCCTCAGATCTCCCGACGTATCCAGATTTAAAGGGAATGTTTCACATTTGAAGATATTGATGCAAGCATAAGATATGATGAGACAAGCTTAACTACAGCTGTTGTTTTTTATTGGCCCACTTTTTATTGGTTTAGGTCGAAAAGACTGTTTTGGATAACACCATTTCTCTATATAGTGAATATGCTCCTCAGTACATGACTGTTTGATTACATCATACCTTGCGCAACATTGACTGGGAGGCGGTTGACGGCCGTTAGTCTGGTTGTCATTCTCACGAAAGCCGGGTAGGAGCGGTTCGACTATTATATTTGTATTGGCCTTGACCCCGCGTGTCTTATGAAAGAGCAGGATTAGAATGACGTTATCATGACGTCATGAATGACAAGGTGATCTTGAAATACTCTTTCCGAAATAGTCTCCTCATCTTTGCGGGCGTTTAACTCAGGAACTAGATGGTTTTAGGTCTTAAAAAGGTGGGGTTGTTAACAGCACCAAATAGCCTTTAAGATGGCTATTTCAGTTAAAACGCCATCAAAATGTGGAACTCTCCCTTTAATCTAGATACCATTTGCAAGCAAAACGTCAATGGCGTTTGTATGTGGTCACTGACCTTATTTGGCTTTTGGAAGGCAAAAGTGGTTAAAAAAAAACTCCAGAATCAAAATGCATGAATTTGGATTGAATGTATAATCCCCGCTTAGTACAGGGAGCAGCAGATGAAATGATTAAGGGGGAGGGGATGACAGGGAGCACTGTACTGTTACCGGCTTGTGGACGCTGAGGGGAGGGAGTGACGGGGAGCTTGGTACTGTTACCGGGTGGTGGACGCTGAGGGGAGGGATGGCGGGGAGCCTGGTACTGTTACCAGGCGGTGGACACTGAGGGGAGGGATGACGGGGAGCCTGGTACTATTACCGGGCGGTGGACGCTGAGGGGAGGGATGACGGGGAGCTTAGTACTATTACCGGGTGGTGGACGCTGAGGGGAGGGATGACGGGGAGCTTGGTACTATTACCTGGCGGTGGACGCTGAGGGGAGGGATGGTGGGGAGCTTGGTACTATTACCGGGCGGTGGACGCTGAGAGAGGGGATGATGGGGAGCGTGATACTGTTACCGGGCGGTGGACGCTGAGGGGAGGGATGACGGGGAGCTTGGTACTATTACCGGGCGGTGGACGCTGAGGGGAGGGATGTTGGGGAGCTTGGTACTATTACCGGGCGGTGGACGCTGAGGGGAGGGATGATGGGGAGCTTGGTGCCGTTACCAGGCGGTGGACGCTGAGGGGAGGGATGTTGGGGAGCGTGATACTGTTACCGGGTGGTGGACGCTGAGGGGAGGGATGACGGGGAGCTTGGTACTGTTACCGGGCGGTGGACGCTGAGGGGAGGGATGGTGGGGAGCGTGATACTGTTACCGGGTGGTGGACGCTGAGGGGAGGGATGACGGGGAGCTTGGTACTATTACCGGGTGGTGGACGCTGAGGGGAGGGGATGATGGGGAGCTTGGTACTGTTACCGGGCGGTGGACGCTGAGGGGAGGGATGACGGGAAGCTTGGTACTATTACCGGGTGGTGGACGTTGACTCGGCGGCCATGTGCGCACGCCAGGCGGAGCCGTGCGGTGCCTCAGCCGGCCCCAGCGGACGCAGCGTTTCGCCGCTGTTCGACCTGCCGCCCGACACTGGCTACCGGCGCTTCCCCACCAACAACAGCCTGCTCTTGAGGCCCGGGCCTCTGTTCTCAACGGGGCTAGTGAGTGTCGCGGCACGTCTTCTCTACAAAAATGGTATACGGCACGGCTTGTGTTCTCCACGACGCTGATGAGCGGTGTGGCACGTCTTCTCCACAAAAGTGGTATACGGCACGGCTTGTGCTCTCCACGACGCTGATGAGCGGTGTGGCACGTCTTCTCCACAAAAGTGGTATACGGCACGGCTTGTGTTCTCCACGACGCTGATGAGCGGTGTGGCACGTCTTCTCCACAAAAGTGGTATACGGCACGGCTTGTGTTCTCCACGACACTGACGAGCGGTGTGGCACGTCTTCTCCACAAAAGTGGTATACGGCACGGCTTGTGTTTTCCACGACACTGATGAGCGGTGTGGCACGTCTTCTCCACAAAAGTGGTATACGGCACGGCTTGTGTTCTCCACGACACTGGTGAGCGGTGTGGCACGTCTTCTCCACAAAAGTGGTATACGGCACGACTTGTGTTCTCCACGACACTGGTGAGCGGTGCCGCACGTTTTCTCCGCGAAATAAGTAAACGGCAAGGTTCGTATTCTCCACGCTACTGGTGAGTAGAGTGACAGATGTTCTTCATGCTCAGCGCTTCCGCTCTGCTCCGCTCAGCATTTCAGCACGTGTTCTCCAGGAGACTGGGGGGCTGTCACACGCGTTCTCCAGGGACCTTTCAGAGGCGCGCACGTCCTCACGACGACACTGTTGAGTTACATGAGACATGTGGTGATGAGTGCGATACCGATGAGTGGTACGCCACGGGCTCTCCACAAGCTGGTCTGTGGCACGGCACGTGCTCTTCAGGTGCTGTGCGCGTGGCGCGGCACGTACCTGCCGCGGGCCTGGTCAGTGAAGCGGTACATGTTCTTGTCCATGCGATTGGCCAGTGATGCGCCTCGTGTTATCGTCGCTGAGTGGAGCGGCATGTGCTCTATAATGGCATTAAAGATCAACTACACACGCTCAAGATGAAATTTACAAATGGCTTTGAACTTTGTTGATTTGTGGGCCACGACCGTCACGACTCATATGCTTCGAGTCGTTGGTCTCGTATACATTGACAATCCTGTCCCAGATGAATATTCGCAGCTATGTGCGGAAAGGCTGGCATGTGAGCAAGCCGGCGTTTTTTCATGATCGTATTACATTTAAGTGTCTTCCTTCTAAGAGATTTTTCTCTTTCCTTTCTAAAGAGCTCTTCCTTCTTCGGTCCCCCGCCTCCCGAAATGGGCCCTGGTGCGATGTGCCGAAACGCCTGGGGATGTAGTTCGGTGGCTGTGTATGCATACAGTCAACCCGGGGATTGCGCAGATAGATTTAGCGTGTCAGATAATTCTGGGAACCAGTATAAGTCAAGATTCGAGGGATGTGGATGTAAGCCGCGTTCGATCCATCGTGAGATATTCCAATGGAAACAGAGTAATGCCATGCGCATTTGTTTGCAGATGGCATATAAACTGAATAGCTCCAAGGACGAAGAACTCGTTATTCGGCTGACGTTTTATATTCCGGAGACGGCCACAAGTCCGAGCATCTCTGTCAGCCTTGTCGGCTCCGGAGAGTCGCCCCTGCAGGCCAACATCCCGCTGATGGGCGAGGTTACCGCTCTTCGTTCACGAGGCCTCACCATGGTTGTTGGTCTGGTGACATTAGTCTGCGTTCCGTGTGCATGACACGTGTTGAGGTGACATGGTGATGTAGCCAACAACGCGATATGCCCGTTGAGCACGATAAGAGGCTGAAGAAGACAGTAAAAGGTCGACTTTAGCTGAACAGTGATGTTTGCAGGGGGTGGTTACGACGACTTTTTTTTTAATTCACACCTCAACCTGATTTCCCAGCTGACCTTTGAGAGTTTGGCTGCCGGACCAATAGCGTGGCCGTGACTGAGCTGATTTTGTGTGGCTGCAGAGCGAAAGGCCGACTGCAATGGCTGATCACGCTTTCCAAATGACGGGAAACATCACGAGCACCATTCCAAACGTGTAAGTCCATACGGCAATTGTAGACACGCTCTTGTTCCAGCAAAGTGATGTGCTCTGTTCTGCTCTGCTCTGCTACATATTTTTTGTTACAATAGCGGTTTATGGCATGCTATGTGCCTTACGATATTGTATTGGGACATTGTGCGTTCACACATAGAATGCGCTGCAAATCGAATGTGGGAAAACCTACGAGTTGGCGTACAGAGTGAGGTTTTGGGAACCAAGTGAAGTTTTTTACATGCTAAGGCGCTGAACAAGTGTCTGCACTGTGCAGTAGAGCAGCCCGCACATGTTATTCTCTCGGCCGTTTGTATACCCCTGTATACCTGATTTAATGCACTTAAATTGTATCCCGTATTTGAACCGCTCTAATTATTGCTTGCGCCGCGAACATCGACCAACGCGCACCGTTCTTCCTCACCGCATGCCCACTTTTGCTGTAACTTCCCGTGACGGCTGGGATCCGGGCGGACTCCGGCCAGTGCCCTCATGGGTGACCGCATGCCTTACTAACGCAGGGTCTCCACGTCCAACACCCTATATCCGGGCGGACTCCGGCCAGTGCCCTCATGGATGACCGCATGCCTTACTAACGCAGGGTCTCCACGTCCAATACCCTATATCCGGGCGGCGTCATCGGCTTCAACATGACGATCTTCACGCCACCGGGCGTCAACTACCGGGACCTGCGGCTGGTGGCGCAGCCGCAGACGGTTTCGGGGCCTCAGATCCGCGTCTGCCGGGCGCGCCTGCTCGCGGTCGGCGCCAGTCTGCCCTGCACGCGCTACGGTTACAACAACCACACGGCCCTGCTCGAGATGAAGGGGTGAGTGCGCCGGAAGACGGTCAGGCGCCGTGAGATAGCTCCAGTCTGGGGACTTCTAGTTCAACACGTACACGCCCTGGGCGGGATGTGGGCGCGACGTTATTGTCAGTCGGCAATATGTGTTCTATCTGTTCTGAAGACCTGTCGCGATGGTCTGCTATATGCAAAGTGTCGAGGTTGGTAGGGCAGCACTGACCATACAACGATGGTCAGTTTACAGAGGTGCACTGCGTGGTGTGCAGCTGCTACTGGCGGCAGGGCTCCAGAGACGCTTAATCGCACCGCGATAAATTCATTAATGTTTTTGTACAATGCGCCGTTGCGGGCATGCAGACATGCTGCCAAGAAGGATGTCTCATTTGAACGAATACATGATATGTGTCTAGCGAATGAAAAACTCACGGATCGTCCTCACCAGCACAGCCCCCCCCCCCCCCTCCCTCCTCCTCCATTACCCTGGCATGACCACCCGCACGGGGACACCCTCCCACCGGTATAGTCGTCAACGGCGGCATGTCGTCGATACACTGGGCTTATTGTCTGCCGGCAGGTCCCGGGCGCACAGTATGCCCGACACGGCCCAGATCGCCCTGGGACCGGTGTGTGCCCTGCCCGTCGAGCCAATGGCTGGAGCCGAACAGAACTTCATCACGGCCAACTTCGTATTCCAAACATGTCGCGCATTTTGGTCCCGACAACACATTTTCAGAAGTCTTGGCGCCCAATCGTGAGTAACACACTTAAGTATGTGGCCAGACCACATTTAGAAACGTCGAATAAGTCTCCAGTGCACTGTGGCGGAAAACGCATCCAATGGCTTATATAATCTGAGTCCCCCCCCCCCCCATCCCATCTCATTGTCAATGTGACTCACATTTTGTGGGAATGGTACGTTTTTGAATTCGTTAGCAGAGAGCCGGACCTGCGACCGCATGCCATCTATGGTCACAGAGGAACAAGGCCTATATAGTCCGCTGCACATAGTTATAAACTCAGTTGTGTTCTATCAGCATTATTTCTTAGCGCTTTCGCGGAGAGGAATGCGGAGATATAAGCTGCTTTTTCCTCGTCAGCATTCTATTTTAACGTCTTCGTGGAAAGTGAGGAGGGTCAAAGTATCTTCGCATCTTCTCTTCAATATCCCACTTCGAACAGCAAGTCTGGCCTGAACACCATCCCCAGCGGTGCTCCCAAAAAGGCGTGGCTTCAGATTCGAACACCGACCCCGGTCCGTCCCGGCCAAACAGTGCTCGTCGACCTTTGTTTCAAGGTAAGCGAAGGTGAAATCAGTACACCTGCTTCAGCTGCGTGGTGCTTTAGTCGGGATGATGTCCCGGCATTGGTGAACAATACGACTCTGTCGCAAGAGAACCAGCCAACTGCCAAAATAAAACTCAGCAGAAAGACGTTCAATGAACAGATTAACTAAACCTGCATTAACGGTAGCGGTGTGCCTGTAGCACACTAATCTGAAAACAATAGGTGCGATTGTGATTTGCTTTGCATAGCGCTGGTCCAACTTTCACGGTTGTCGAGAAGACAGACTACCACTGATCCGTTCTCAATAGTCGTATGCACCGGCGCAACCCCAATCAACACGTCTTTCTAACTTGCAGCCTTGATCTGGGGCCGAAGTGCCGGCTGTGAGACTTGCTGTGCCGGGGCCATGAGATTCATTTGCGGCGGCCGTGCTGTGCCGGGGCCCTGAAGCTGACCTCTGACCTGTGACTGTGAGCCTTGCTGTGGCGGGGCCGTGAGGTCCACTTGTGGCGGCCGTGCTGTGCCGGGGCCCTGAGGCCGACCTCTGACCTGTGACGGCCGGGCTCGGCTGTGAGCTGTGAGCTGTCAGCCTAGCCCGCTTGTCAGCGTCGCGCCGCTCCGACAGATGACGCCCGGCTCCATGTCAGATCACCAGTGGCACATCACGGCACCCGACGAGGACAACCAGATCAAACTCTGCGACGTGCGCGTCTCGCACGTGGGCGCCAACTACGTGTGTCACCAGGACGCCGCGTACCGCCGGCTCATTCACTACAAGAGCTACGACAGCCCCACGGCCGACTACGCAACCCAGGAGAAGTCGGAGAGGGGTGTGCACACCATGATCACCTACCTCACGCGCTACGCCAACGCCGGTGAGCGACGAGGCACCCGGTGTTGGCGACGACGACCGCGACGACAGCGGCGATGGCTGTAACAATAGTATGACAGGCGACGGCAGCGACCAGGGCCAGGCTGGTGGTGGCTGTGCCATTTGACATCAGCAGCAGCATCCTCGCTTCTGTCTGCGGTGGAATACCACTATCAGATCTCACGTGTGCTTGAAATATGCTGGGGTGAGGTCTCGTCGTCAGCTGATCGCTCATTTTCACCTGTTGTCACCTGTTTTCACTGTTATCACCGGTATCGTGGCACTCGGCTCTAATTCGCCGCCACCGGCCGCGACAGGCCTCGACTCAACCTCCTTCTACGACGACGAGATGGTGGACGCCGACACGGTGGTGACATCGGTGGCGATGGTGATGCCCCGAGAGTGCCGCCTCCTTCCGCATCCGGCTGGTAGAGGGGAGCAGCAATACCATCTTTGACGAGACCACCCAAGTGCCGGTGACCAACGCGGAGGCGGCGGCGCCTGCGCAGCGGCCGCCCAGTCTCACCTTCACTGTCGGTAATCGGCGGGGTTGGAGTCGCCGCCGGTGGCCGATGGCCGGTGTCGCGGGAGGGGGCAGAGCGAGAAGCGATTCGGGGATGCTGTGGTGACCTGCCTCCGGTTCTCAAACACCGTGCTGCCTGACGTCGCTGCGTAACAGGAATGTCTGTCGCTGTCTGATCAAGCGGGCTTGAAACAAGCTGGACGCGACCTGTCGTTGTCTGATCGCTGACATCTCCTCCCAGACAGCGCTGACGGCTGGTCCGTCTATCCTGGCGTCATGAAGAAGCTGGTGGTCATGCTGGACATGGAAGAGTACTTTGAGCGCACCGTGAAGCTCCTCCTGGAGCCCGCAGAATCCGAGGCCAAATACGACGCCTGCTGCGCATACGTCACGTTCGTGGGGGAAAACTCACCATGCGTCAACACGTTCGGCCTGGAGTCAGTGATCTCCAAGAGCAGGTGAGATGTCGTTTGGCCCGGGCTGGACGGATGGTCTTCTCTCCTCGCGTCGGAGGACGAGGCTTCTTAGCCCTCTCTCCGCCGCTACCTGAAGAACCAAACACGCTCAAGCCGCGCGAGGGGCCACATCGGGAAGTTCGCGTATAGTTGCATCGCATCGGCGTCGTCATGCATTGACGGAAGGTATGTACATTCATCACCAGGTCAATGGGTGAAGAAAACGAGTTTAGGTCTTCTCTCGGAATTGCGCACGCCATGACAAGCTGGACGGGGGGGGGGGGGAGTGTCCATGCCTCTCAGCTCCCCGACGATACGCCGAAAGGGAATGTCCGTGCCTCTCAGCTCCCCGACCATGCACCGAAAGTAACGCAGGCACGAGGACTGGGCCTGCGGCGGGTCAGACGGGGTCATACTGGTAAGCCCTGTGTGTAGAGGTGCCTACCCGCCACCTCAAGACGTAAGCACGGCCCGGCAGCGAGACAAGGACGTGGGATAGCGCTCGTTAAACCACGCCAAAAATCGTTTGCGGTGACCTGGGGTCTGTTACACCGGATCGTTAAAGCTTCAAATATTTTTTCTCAGATATTTCCTCGTTGTTCTTATTTGAGCCGGCTTGACCCTGCATAATGCCATCGTAAAGTATTGCAAGAAATGACGTTATCCAGTAGCGTGATAAGATACGGAAACTAACACTGTGCTGTGCTGTAGAATACATGCTGCGCCGCAAACATTGTTCATCGACCTCTTGAACATGAGATGAGATTGGTCTCCCTAAACGAAACGGGCATCATCCATCAATCGCCTATAATCAATCACCCATGGCAGGATCATCTTATTCTCACAGGAAGTGTGGGCAGAGTGTAAGTTCGGCTACTAAAGATCACAGCGTCTCACTCTTGGGATACTGGGGGCAAAAGGTAGAGAAAAGCCTACGAGGGCCACATGATCCAGCGAGGGCAAACAAATTTCGTTTCACATTCTCTTGGAGCACCAAGCCCCTCATATATATTAGAGGAGTGACGCTCCCTCGAGTGCCGGTGACTTCGTTTGATCACCATCTGAACTTGGCGTCGCATATGCCGCTGCACTTGCCGTCGCGCCTCGCCACAAACAGACACTTGCAACGGCACTGGCGCAGATTCCCAGACGTTGTGGAGTACAGTCAAACGGTACTGGCTTTTTCGTCAACGTTGACGCTCTTCGGTGGAAGCAACAGACCTAACGGCTCTGTTTTTTTCACAGAAATTTTGACCCCGACTGAAATGTAAACGCACCACAGCATCTCGCGCACTTCATTGCGTGTTTAGTCAGCTTTGCTTTAGTGCGATCATCTATCTGATGCCAGGCTGATGCATCAGCGACTGCGCCGGCCTTGGATTGGCTTGGCTTGGCTCGGCTGTTAACGTCACTGCGTCCCTGGCAGCTGGTCCCTTGGATTGGCCTGGCTCGGCTGGTGACGTCACTGCGTTCCCTTCGGCCGGCCCCCTTCAACTGGCTTGGCTCGGTTGGTGATGTCGCCGCGTCCCCGGCAGCCGGCCCTTTGATTATCTTGACTCGGCTAATTGACGTCACTGCATCCCCGGCAGCCAGTACCTACGATTGGCTTGGCTTGGCTGGTGACGTCACTGCGTCTCCGGCAGCCCGTCACTGCTGGGGCCGGACGTGCTGACCTTCGACATGGGGCGACTGTGCTCGGTGCCTCTCATCCCGCGGCACAACACCAGTAACCTGGTAAACATCACGGTGGGACTGCGGCCGCGAAACCAGCTGGCCGCCGGCGAGACCTTCAGCGTGGGCGTTTCCGTGGTCATGGATGACACGGTCGGCGCGTTCGGCAGACTGGCCGGCGACACTAGCGCCACCATTGATGAGGCGGTCACTACGGAAATCATGACAGTCGGTAAGGCGATGATCAATATCTTAGCCGGGTTAATACGGAAGCGAATGGAAATAGCCGGCGATTATTTTCAGAGCTTTCTTTGTGAAGGCAGACTGAAAGATCATCCCACACGAATCAAGGCCTCGATGAGACGCACGGAAACACGCATAATTGGTGTGCTACTTTTTAGCGAATCCAACTTTACCTTCCCCGGGTCTTGTATAGATTGATCGTGTCTTCATCGGACTGCAGCATCATTTTGTTTTGTTTTGCCAAGTGCTCATGTTTCCTATTCGTAATAGGATTTTCCAGGAATATTTTTATAAGGAACCATGCTCATCACTATTTAAGTATTTAAGTTCGGTTCAGCGTCGTTTATGTTGGTTTCATTCAACCGCGGCAGGTCTATTTGTTCAGAACACTCCATTACGACTTGATTTTCTAACAAGTCACATAAGTGTTTGATATCACGCGCTGATAATGCACTATTCAAGTCGCTATAATCCAACGGGATCCCGTGTATGTAGACTCATGACATCAATTCCGTCTCGTCAGCGGCGCTCCACCACAGCTGCGACGAGCCCCAGACAACGCGGCGAGGGGCCTTGATTCATTTGTTCTGCATTTGGCTTAGGGATAACGCATGGATAATGGCGAACATTCCTCAAAGATCTTGCTGCTCATTCATTGCAGATACACTCCATTGCTGACTATGGAGATGGAGATTAGAGGAGTACAATGGAGACAATGGCAGCTGTTTATCAGTGGCAGTAGTAGCTGCCACAACAGCTGTGACATCTGATGGCAGTACAATAGACACTGTTGGACAGGGGCGGATCCTGAGGGGGCAATGGGGTCATACCCCTCTTTGGGCTCCGAAGGGATCCATAGGCTCCGAAAAAGGCCAAAGCCGGCCCGAACAGATGCAGGTTTTTTGGCACAAAACGCGAGAAAATTGGACATCTTTGGGCTTCCAGGTGACCAAGAACAGTTGCGAGCAAAATGAATGGCCCACGATTAGGTAAAGTAATTCCTCACTAATTGAGAGGGTGGTGATTGGAAAGATTTTAAGGCTCAAAATTTTCAGGCATTATGTCTTAGATATGCGTAACATATACATGCAAATATCATTACAAGTTCACAAAACCATCTGACCACCAACCTGATGTGCCACCATATCCGATTGAGCTGGTGCCTCTCGCTCACACGACCTCCTGTTTGTTAGATAAAACATGCCGTCTTAGTTATTAAGCGGCGAGCACCTTGAACTCGCTCTTACTGCAACCGCAATGCAGAGCGCTGGCGCCGTGGTTAGAATAAGCCTTTTGACTGGTCTGGCCTTTGCCACCTAATGTCATGCATTACCGGTCTACGGCCGGACGGTATCTGCGCGCCATTTGACACCATATCATTTCATTAATCACTTCGACCGCCTTCACTGTGCCTGTCAACGAGCCGTGCGCTTCCCGGGAGCAGCAGGGCAAGGCTGAGCCGCCCTGTCGTTTGCTCTAGGCGCGGACGCAGACTTGGCGGCGGCGGCAGATAACGGCTCCTCCTACTACACCACGGGCAGCTGGGAGTCGTCGTCGGAAGCGGGTGGTGTCGGCGGCGGAGCCAGACACCAGTCACCCACCAGTGATCGTCACATTTACGGTGGCGTCGGAGGAGTTCACGGGCGCCAGTACGCCGGTCAGTGCAAGTCGACCCGGAGGACGGGTCTAGTCCTACCCGACCGAACGGGACTGGGCCGACCCGATGGACATGGCTGGGCCGACACGACGCTCGGGGCTGGGCCGACCCGACGGGCGGTGGTTCGACCCGACGGACGGGGATGGTCCCACCCGACGAACGGGGATGGTCCGACCCGACGGACGGGGATGGTCCGACCCGACGGACGGGGCTGGTCCCACCCGACGGACGGGGCTGGTCCCACCCGACGGACGGGGCTGGTCCCACCCGACGGACGGGGATGGTCCCACCCGACGGACGGGGCTGGTCCCACCCGACGGACGGGGCTGGTTCGACCCGACGGACGGGGATGGTCCCACCCGACGGACGGGGCTGGTCCGACCCGACGGACGGGGATGGTCCCACCCGACGGACGGGGATGGTCCGACCCGACGGACGGGGATGGGCCGGCGCGGGGGGGGGAGCTACACCGTCCGCATGCTGTGCGGGATCGCGGCCAGGGGGCTGCAGTTGAGCCGTCAAGCAGTGCAGCCGCGTGTGGACGCTGGCACCGATCTGCAAGGGACCAGTGCGCGAATGAAGCTGCCGTTACGCTGGTGTGCATGCTTCAGGAGTTCTGAGCTCTTTCGCTGCCCTGACGGCTGCTTCGGTGTGACCATTGGATTGAAGATAGTAAGGCGTTGACATGTCACGCCTCACCTCCCAGCGCTCGAGAAAGGCTGCGACATCGCGGTTCTTATAAACATAGAGAAAACAAGCTTGCGACCTTTAGACACTGAAGTCCGCAGACCTGTAGATGTAGCGAGCTCGCTGGGAGGGATCACAGGAGTGCATCTATTGATGGAGGCCGTATCGTGGATCAGTGGCCCTGGATACTGGAACGTTTTGACTTTGTTCTTGCTGTTGTTGCTGCCCTAGTTGCTGTTCCATCTGGCGCTGCTCTTGCTGTCGCTGGTTTTGCTATCGCTGCTCTCCATCCGTACCCCCGATTGGTGGGCCGCACGGGATTGGACGGCGGTTGGCGGCTGCCGGCCAGGCGGCCAGCCCCCGGCCCGTCGCACGTAACAGATGGTTCTCCAGGCTCAGCCGCCGCGTGCCGCTAGCGGCATCAGCTTCGGCGCTGATCTTGGCTTTGTCGTTGTTTGCTGTTTAAAAAACTTGCTCTTCTCTACACCGAAGAATGCAATACCATACGCCTTCCCTGCGGCTGTTCAGACCCCGTCAGCCCGAACAGTAGCTGTGCAGCATGTTTAAAACTATGTGAACTATGTGATGATACTTTTTCGTGATGATCCCCAGAATCTATCACCGCGTATGCAGCTCTAGTCTGGTGGCAGAATGTATTAACGTGTACGCAGCTCTGGTAAATAGTGTGGTTCTGATAATCGTGATTCCCAGAGCAGCATACACGTCGAAAATCCTGGTGGTTGTTACTCAGAAACAGCATCAAATAGAGAATAGAGAATAATGCATGAGTATCAGTACCACACCATTACACGCTGGCTTCTGTGATAAAGCCGAGCAACGCTCATTCTATGTTCTTGATTGAATCGGGTCTCAGTAAATCCCAATAATTAGGCGCTGCTGTCAGCTGTTTCTTCCTCATGAGGCCTGGCTCCACCTGATCCAGCTCCTCTCTCTCTTTCTCTCTCTTGCAGGGCGAAATGAGCATGATCAAGTTCATGTCCTCCGATGACGAGCTGATCACCATGACGGAGACGTCGTGGCTCAAGTTCAACATCAGTCTGCCGCTGTCCGGGGTGGGGGAGTGGCCAGTCTGAAGTGGTCTGGCTTCACTGAGGACGGTCGTGCCGCCATTGTGCCCACGGGCAACATCAGGTCAGTCCGCTCCGATCAACAGGCGCTCAGATGGCAGGGGACTCAGATGGCTGGCGGGCTCAGATGACAAGGGGCTCAGATGACTAGCGGGCTCAGATGACAAGGGGCTCAGATGACTAGCGGGCTCAGATGACAAGGGGCTCAGATGACTAGCGGGCTCAGATGACAAGGGGCTCAGATGACTAGCGGGCTCAGATGACAAGGGGCTCAGATGACTAGCGGGCTCAGATGACAAGGGGCTCAGATGACTAGCGGGCTCAGATGACAAGGGGCTCAGATGACTAGCGGGCTCAGATGACAAGGGGCTCAGATGACTAGCGGGCTCAGATGACAAGGGGCTCAGATGACTAGCGGGCTCAGATGACAAGGGGCTCAGATGACCAGTGCGCCCAGATTGTAAGGGACTGAGATGGCCAGTGGTTTCAGATGGATAGGAAATAAGATGGTGTGAGACTCAGGTGACTAGAGGGTTGAGATGACAAGGAGCTCAAATGACATGGACTCAGATGACGCTGGGCTCAAATAGTCGTGGCCTTTGATAACTGGGGTATCAGATGAACACAGTTCATGCGACGAGGGGTTCAGATGACGAGGTTTTCACACGACCGTGGGCTCAGACGACGAGGTTTTCACACGACCGTGGGCTCAGATGACGAGGTTTTTACACGACCGTGGGCTCAGACGATGAGGTTTTCACGCGACCATGGGCTTATGTCACCAAAGGATTAGATGACGAAGGGCTCGGATGGCCAAGAACTTTGACGATCAGGGCCACAGACAATCCGGGGCTCAGATGACCAGCCTTAGTCTGCCTCAGTTTGATGACCAGGAACTGAAATGTGCAAAGACTGTAAAAATTCCCAGGGCCTCAGATGAATACTAGCTCGACCACAAGCTTTGGTGATATGATTCTGTGTTAATGAGTAAGGGCATGAATAACAGAGATCAGTACAAGAAGGGATGGAGCTGGACCCGGTTCGCTGGACCACCAGGTGTAGCAATAAGCTGCAGTTTGGGCTGATTTGTGTCGTGAAAATTTATATTGATAGCATTTATCATGAATATTGGTCATGCTGTAGATGGATGTCACTTTCACGAGCACAGATATTTGTTGCATTCCTGAGCTGCGGTTATCCATCCGGCCAGCTGTAGCAGTGACTGTTGGTGGCCACCCAGTGCATGTTCTTAAATGCTTGCTGATACACTATACCACTATGTTTATAATTTGGTCAGCCATCAGGGATGAGCTGCATTCAGAAATATGGAAGGCCACTTTTCTGTGCTCCGCAATATCTATGTGTATGCAACACCTAGCGGGCGCTTTTTTTGCTGTTTCTCGGGGGCATCTCATACCATCATTGGTCGTGCTCATTCCAGCACCCTTGCTTTCCTCTCAGCAGCTGGGGTCGATTGGCCGCAACAACCCGCCGCCCCGTGCCCATTGCCCGACGCGTCCTCCACACACGCTGACTCCCACCGCCACAGGGTGCTGGCTCGAGGACGCAACGTGCCCTGCTTCGGAATCACAGACCTGAACGACACCATCGTGGTCAGCACGACGCTCAGCAACACCCAGTACGACGTGGTCTCCCTGGACCTGGGCTACGTCACCAACACAGGCACGAGCGGTCCTCGGCCGGAGCTTGCCGTCGTCTCCGCCGGCTCGGCCAGGGGCGGGAGGCTCATGTGGGGCTGACGTCTGCGCCATTCGATCCTTTTCAAAAGTGTCATGAAACACTGTTCAAGTAGGTTAACCAACTACATACATAATTTGCGATATGCATGCCATCAATCGCTCGACAGACAACCGGTTAACTTTGGACCGAGGATAATGTTTTCATCACAGCTGTGCATAAAGACATGGTCACTTGTGCCAATACTTCTACCTCTGCCCGTCTTCGATGCGGGTGCAATCTGAAATCAACCCGTGTTTATCGGCGCCAATGCGTGACGTGTTTTAATTGTGTACATGCGGCCCAATTTGTGTCCGTGTCTACGTCAATAACTACCTGAAGCCGTACCTGTTGCAGCCAATAGAACAGACCAGTCCACATGCGTATATTTGCATCTGAGTCCATGCGCGGCGTGCTGAGAGCCCTTTTCTGGTGGCAGGCATGACGGCGAGCCGCGAGACGGTGCAGGACTGGGTGGAGACGGACGACATGGTGCAATTCGAGGCCGAGTTCCGCTTCACCGACCACCCACGCGCCACCCACCAGACACTGCTTCCCGTGAATTTCGAGGTCAGACATGCGTCTGCGAGCTCGGCCGTAAGCTGCCACTTAATTTTCTTGTGAGTTGAGACCTTTGGTAACATTTGGCGCAAATCAAAGGTCTTCGGCGAACTGAGAGGCAATCAAAGACTTTGGTGGTAGAATGTGGAGCCAATCAAGGAGCCAATGAAACGCCGCCCGTTGTTGGCACGCTACAGGGGCTTCTGCTGAATCTTTGGCTCGTTGACTTTGTACTGCCCTATGGTGGAAGCATTACACCATACACAGCCATACAACAGCACAGGCACCGATTGTCTTTAGCCAGCCCTGATTTCCAGGAGGCTTCGAGACGTCTGGTCGTGGGCGTGGGTGGCTGTTCAGGCCGCTGATTGCAAACGGAGACAGATCATCCTGAAGGGGCCGCTTTACCGGCACGGGGGGACTTGATCTGTTGAGCAGTGAGTACGTGCGTGGTCGCCTGGTCAACAGACATGATCATATCTGTTGGGG